GTTTTTCAGAAGAAACTCCACACAAGCTCTGTAATAGCACATTTCATGCATACCAGTGGTCTCCAACCTTTTTACACTCAAGATCACTTTTTAAATCTCAGAACAAGCAAAGATCTACTGCCCCACTCTTCCCCCCCCCAAGACCCCACCCCTTCCTTAAAGCCCCGCCCTTTCTATTCTCCTCCTCTCCATCACTTGCTATCCCCAGCCCTTTTACACTCTACACTGCCATTTTTTTTTTTCCAATTCTTCTGTGGGAAGAGATTTTTCCAACAGTTGGCCTGTCTAGACTGGACCAAATGTCAGAAAAACCCCTTCTTTTGGCAGCCCTCTTATTCCTCATAGAATGAGGAATATAGGGGTTACCAAAAGAGCATGTTTGCTCTTCCACACAAAAAAAAAAACCGGAAGAACAAACGCATCCCTGGATGCAGAAGAGTTTTTTCCGGGATATCTCTGGAATCCTGGGAAAAACACCTGCAGTATAGCTGTACCCTCTCTGGGTTGAGACAGGATATGTGGGCTCTAGGGTGGGAATGAGGGATTTGGGTGTGGGTAGGTTGTGAGAGTTGCAAGCTCCGGGAGGATATTTGGATGCAGGAAGAGGTGGAGAAGGGGATGCCGTCTCAGGGAGAGGGCTCCAGGCTGGGGAGTGTTGGGGTCAGATGGAGGGTTGTGGTACTAAGCAAGCCACAGGCTTGTGGATGTGACGGTGCAGGAATTTGGGTTGGGGTATGTGAGAGGCTCAGGGCAGGAGGTTCCAGTGTATGATAGGCTCAGATCTAGGGTCTGGGGGAAGGAGGAGTGCAGGAGTGTTGTGATGCTGTTGCCAGATGGCGGCTTGGCCCCAATTCGGGGTTGGTTGGCCAGGCTTCATTCTGCCCCGCCACAGAGGAGCAAGCGGCGCAAGTGGCCGTTTGGGCTCCGTGCTTCCCATGTAGCAGAAGGGTGCTGCATGGGGTGCACGGGGACCAAATGGCCACTTGCGCCGCTTGCTTCCATGCAGTGGTCCAGCTGAGCGGCGCAGAAGTCAGCCGAGTGCCATGGCGGGAGGCAACAGCGTTGCCCAGAGGGAACAGCCAGGGGGTGGGGCCTGGATGAGCGTGCATCTCTGACGTCAGGAAGGGGTGCCGGATTCAAAAGGAGGAAAGTGGAGCAGACACAGAGGATGCGGGGAGACAGAGAGGAGAACGGAGGAGGTGGAGGACAGCGAGAGAGAGAGAGAGAAACACAGCAGGAGGAGGAGAAGCAAAGCATAGAGTGAGAGGCGGGAGGGGAAGAAGAGAAAGAGAGAGAGGCAGGAGGCAGACGAGAGCTGAGAGAGAGAGAGGGCCAGGCAGGAGGAGAAGAGAGAGAGAGGCTGTTTGTGCTGCTTGCTCCCACGCGGCGGCCTAGCTGTGCGGTGCAGAAGTCAGCCCAGTGCCATGGTGGGAGGCGAAGGCAGGCAGGGCAGTGGCATACACGCTCCAGGGGGCGGGGCCTGGACGAGTGTGCATCCCCGACAGAGACAGAGGAGAGTGGAGAGAGAGTGAGAGAGATGGAGAGAGAGGCAGAAGGCGGAGGAGAGCTGAGAGAGAGGATAGGAGGTGTCAGGAGGAGGAGGAGAGAGAGAAAGAGACACGGAGCAAGAGACTGGAGGCTCAGGAGAGAAGACAAACGTGGAGGAGAGACTTGAAAATCTCATCTTATAACGGGCTAATTGGCTAGTTTTTAAATAAAAGACTATGTCAAACACAAAAATTTTCTGCATTGTCTTTATTTATGAGAAGGGCAGGGAACCTTTTTGAGTCAGGGGTCACTGACCCACAGAAAAGTCAGTTGGGGCCACATAAGGGAAAAGCAAAAACAAACAAAAAACTTCCCCCAAAACCCCCCACACCTCGCTAACGTGGCCCCAACTGTGCTGTGGGAGCAGGGGACGTGGTACTGGGAAAGGGCATTAGTGGGTGCTGGGGCAGGGGTCAGGGTAGCAGTGAGGGGTAGGGACAGGGTTCTGGGGTGGGGGCAGGAGGCAGAGTTCTGCAGCAGGGGGCATGGTGCCAGTGGGGGAGAGGGGACAGTGTTCTGCAGCAGGGGACAGGGTGCCAGTGGGAGCAGGGAGTCCCCTGCACCCACCTCCTCCCAGGACTTCTCCTCCCTTCCCCCTGCAGAACAGGGAAGCCCCAGTGGGAGCCTCCTCTGGGGCCAACTCCCCTCTTCTGCAAAGAAGAGTGCACTTGGGATGAACACCATGACCAGCTGGCCAGGTAGCCCTCCTCTTTGCTCCAGCCCAGCTGCCCTGCACTCAGCCTGGGGAGGCTGTGCCATGCTCCTGTTGACCTGGAAGCCCTTCCTGGAAGCCCTTCCTCTTTTCTCCAGCCCAGCTGGAGTGAGGCGCAGCCTCCCAGGGCTGAGCCAGGTGCATCTAGGACGGAGGAAAGAGGAGCGGCTGCCTGGCCAGCTGGCCATGATTTCCAGCCCAGGTGCACCACGGTCTACGTGGGACAGGGGAAGCTGCCTGGCCAGCTGGCCGCAGAGTTCAGCAGAGGGTGCACCGTACTTCAGCTGATTGGGCTGCTTCTCCTCTGTGTCAGCCCAGGTAAAGAGTTGTGCACCTGGGCTGGAAACCATGGCCAGCTGACCGGGCAGCTGCTCCTCTTTGCTCCTGCCCAGCTGCACCGTGCTCAGCCTGGGGAGGCTGCACCGCTCTCCTCCTGGCCGGGAAGCCTTTCCTCTTTGCTCGAGCCCAGCTGGAGCAAGACGCAGCCTCCCTGGGCTGAGCCGCGGTGCAGCTGGGCTGGAGAAAAGAGGAGTGGCTGCCCAGCCAGCTGGCCGTGGTGTTCAGCCCAGGTGCACCACGCTCCACGTGGGCTGGCGCAGCGGAGAAGCTGCCCGATCAGCTGGAGCGTGGGGG